AATAATAATAATAATAATAATAATAATTAATAATAATAATAATAATAATAATAATAATAATAATAATAATAATAATAATAATAATAATAATAATAATAAAGTAATTAACACCATGGTTTTAATTTTAATTTATTACTGCTCCTTCATTCATCTTTTCAATCTTTAACCCTTATATTAACATCGCTATTGAAACTGATCCAGCAATATATTGAAATTGATTCATTTGACTAAAAACGAATCCAAGTTCATGACATCTAATACGATAACATTCTTCTCCTCTCCCTTCAAATCCTCAAATTTGAGAAGAAAGAAAGTTTCCTGATGTTTGAATGCCAGAAAGATTTTGTCCCATAAATGAAGCCGCCGAAATTTCGACATTGAAGGATACTTCTGATCATTTAGTATTTCGCTTCGACAGCACTATTATACGAATTAATCTTCCTTAGAAATGTGTATAATAAACTTTTTCAATTTTTAGAGTACCATTTTATTCGGTTTAAAGTTAATGTGCAAGTAATCATTACTAAAAATTGACCTCATGACAATGGTCTTTTTTAATCACCTTCTTGATTGTCTTTTGATTATCGTTTCTTTTCACTTATCGATTGATCGTCGTTTCATTCTAATTCGGATAAGTAATAAAATCAATGTTAGAAATAATACAACATAGAACTAATATTTGGTTTATGTTTTTGTTAATTCAATATATTTCCTGTTAAAGATGGCCATGCAATAATTTTTGTTATCATCATACTACTTGATAACGTTGATAAAAGTTGGCATTTTATTTTGAATAGCTTTTTTTCTTTTATACTTTAAGATAAATATTCAATTTAGATCCATTTTAAGATTGATAGATTTAAATTTTGAAATTATACTTTTTTTTGACGCCTGAATTTATTAACATTTATCTGCAAATTCTCGTCGTTTTTTTTTTCTTTTTTGGTATATAATATTGATAACATTTTAAAAAGGAACAACAAAATGTTCAAAATGAAATGATAACAAGGATAGACTTTCATTAGTTAATTTCTGAAATAACAAATATCAGCAAATAAGTGTTTATGATTTTAGGAATAGTATCATTGATAGGATTGCATATAAGTCTCAGATTAGCATCATTGCTAGGTTTACATATATGGTCAAGTTTATTTCTTATAGAATGATTGTTAAAAGATTATAAAATGCATAAAATACCAAAACAAACTTTCATTTTAATCCAATTATTTTCCAATTCATTTTCACTGTATAATAATCGATTAGGATAATTTATGATGCTAATTTGTTGACTCCAAAATTATCTAATCATTTCATTTCAACTAATCATCGAAACAAACAAATACAAATAGTTTCAAACATTTGACACACTCTCAGATCCTTTCCAACATATTTGCTTATTATATTCGTGTCGAAATATGTATACCATACAAATTTTCCTTCTCTTCACTTTAATTTCCGTCTTTTTGCCGAATCTTTGGGTAAGTAATGAATGATTTGGTAGTGATAAATTTTTAGTATAGATTATAACAATGCGAACAAATTTTGTTAAAATAAATTGCAATCGATATCATTTGTAAAAACCATTCCGATCAATTGCTCCTTAACTCATATTTTTATTAGTATTTAGGTTAGATTCATTTAGGATCCTTAATTCACATTTCTATTAGTATTTAGGTTAGATTCATTTAGGATCTTTAATTTACATTTCTATTAGTATTTAGGTATTTAGATTTATTTAGGAATCTAAAAATTAAATATCTTCAAAGTCATATTAGAATAAATTTTACAGGCTAAGAATATCATGCATCATTCAAATAATGATAGCATTGGAAACGTGACAAATACAATGCTACGTAATAATCAACTGTCACCGCTTGATGCACTGTTACGCACCAATAAAGTTAATTTGATCGCGCTTGAAACATTCGGTCAATTAAATCAATTTTGGGGTAATGCTATTCGATTTTTTCAACCATTATCTGAACAAATTGAAAATGGATTATTGTCATTGCTACGTGTAATCTGTCCTCAAATATTTGGTGATTTGAATTCATCAGATATTGCAATAAATAAAGTGACTCGACCACCAGATAAATCAAATTTATTAATTGATGAATTAATTGAAGCTTTCATGATGAGTTTAACCAAAAAAAATTCTACCCTTTTGAAATAATTCAGTTCAGGCCTACATCCTTTGACTAATTTCATGTTACTTTTTTTTTTTTCCATTGACCTTAAATTGAAATGACAGTGCTTTATTAGTTTTCTTAAATTTATATATTTCATAAAATTCATTTGAAATTAAAATTTCATGTTTGATTAAATTTTTTTTTCTTCCTCTTATATTATTGTAATTTATGAGAATAATGATAGATGAAATAGTATTACTCAAATTATTTCATTCATTTTTTAATTTTATGTATTGCAGAAAATTCACTTTGAAATATTTATTCGATAATTGCAATATATATATTTGTCAATAAAATAATTTCTTGAAAATTAAATCCGACATAAAAATTAGCTCATTCAAGATGAATTTATCAATACTTTTTACAATTATCCTACCATTTCTACTGCATGATTATACTGTAAAATTAATACCTCATAACAGTATCCATTGCAAGAGTCTTTTTTTTTATCTTACCATTTCTACTGTATGATTATACTGTAAAATTAATATCTCATAACAGTATCCATTACAAGAGTCATATTTTTTTCAATTTTAATAATATTCATTGAAGATATTCCTCATATGTGCGAACTTATTCATTCATCAAATATGTTAAAATTCGTGTTAATAAAAAAAAAAGATTGACTTGACTTGATTTGAAAAAAGATTGACTAAAATTAAATGAATTAAATGACTTTACAAGAAACTTTTCCTGCATTAAGAAATACAACCAAAAAAAAAAAANAAAAAAAAAAAAGAATATTTCTGTTGAATAGATCGAATACGTTAAAGTTGAAAAGGTTAAATAGTTTCCTTGAATTCATTTCAAGGAAACTATTTAAAGTAGGTCAAAAAATAACAGGACATGTACGGAGACAAATTTGATGACTATTAGAAACTATAAGTAATCGTATAGTAATATAATAGACAGTACTATTTACTATTCATTCTAATAATTTTCAACAAATTACATGGATTTATTACCTAAAGAAAACGTTTTTCTTTTGTTGACAAATGTCTTTTTTTTCGTCCTTTTTTAAATTAATTAATTTTTTTAATGTAAAGAAAAAGGAATAGATCTGAGAAACAGGACATATTAGAAAATACTATTATATTAAATACCTAAATAAAACATAAGAGAAGAAAGAGAGCGTGAAAATGATTATACCATTAAGTGATGATATTAGGGAAATGATTATCAAGGACGACAGAAGATAAAGAAAAGGCTTACTTCTTTTTTTCATCAATTGTAATTCTGATTTTAATAAAAAAAAACCTTGTCAGATATTTAACATCAAATGTTTTTTTTTAAATTAGACATAATTTTAGAAAAAAAAAAAAGGCATCTTACTCGTTTAAGTATTCATATATGAAGCAAATAAAATGAATCAAACTTGATAACTTTTAAATTGTATACACAATTTTTACAATGCAATCATTTTTTATTTTATGGATGTTTTGTTTTTCGATATTTATTTATTTTTAATTAATTTCTTCCAAGTAAAGAAGTCCAAAGAATAAAAACTTTATTTTTAATTAATTTATAATTTTTCTCCCATGTAAAGAAGTCTAAAGAATAAAATATATTAAAAGATATTAGTATGGTTGAAGTTAAACATTCATGGTAATCAATATTTTTGTTGATTTAAAATGTAACATAAATTATTAAATTTATGTTATCAATAAACAATCACTGTTCAAATGCAACACATTTTTGTGAAATTTTCAAAGATTTTTCGTACAGTTTGTGAAATTTTAACAAATTTGCAGATTAAAAGAAATTCTAAAATTTTTAGATATATTTGAGGAATAAGCCTGTTTGTTGTTTGATAGTTTATGCAGGAAATAGCATAGGTAATTAACTTCGTTTCATTTATTTTCTTCCTTCTTCCTTTTTCCTTATTTAATCTCACAATTTGTATGCTCAGTATTGCTACTGAATTGTGATGATAAGGGAAGTTTTGTAAAAATGATAAAAAGTCAAATTTGGGCAACAATAACAAAATATGGTAAAGTTTAATGATTATAGATTAATTACTGTAAAAAAAGAAATACAGTAATATTCCATCATTACTGTATCGCATTTCAACATCATCATGCACCAACATTGGGCTTGAAGGAGAGACAATCAGCTTAGAAGAGACAAAAAGAAGAGGTTAGGGTAACGAGGGATAACGAAGCAAAGAAATAAATGTAGCGCAGAATTTGACGAAGAAAGAGAAGCAGTGTGGATATTCCTCTGCCTGAAAGTATTACTAAATTTAAGGATTGGTTCGTGGAAATGATGCAAAACTCTATACCAGAAGATAAGAAATTCCCAGATGATGTGAAATGTCGATAATGTCAACCCCAAATGTCGATATAGTGTCAACCCCAAATGTCGATATAGTGTCAACCCCAAATATCGATATAGTGTCAACCT